ACGGGCTCAAACGTCCAAGGTGGGAAAACACCTTCGCCAGCACTAGAAGGCAGGTAATTGTGTTGACACATGTGGACCGATAGAGCGTACCTCATACCTCTTCTGCGGGGGGGGGGGTAATGATCCAACAGAGGGAATTCAACACTCCTCCCTGCTCGTTTCCTTTCTGAATTACTGTACCTTGTTTTCCTCCAGTAGGGGATACAAGGGTGTATTAGCTTCATTTATTGGTGGGCTGTACTCGTACGCGCAGCACGATGCTGTAGTCAGACGTGTTGCATTTTAAAAACCGATCGCTTTCTCGGGAACTGCCCGTTGCTTTTCGTGATCACTTATTTAGTGGGCTGGTGCTCATCTGTTCGGAGTTAAGCATTTGTCTCGTCTGTTCTATTGTTCACATGAGGACTCTTTCGGTGGTATTCAGCTATACTAGCCGCTTGTAGAGTATTACGCTACTTCAATCGGTAATTATTCCATCCAGTTTTTGCACACCTTACCACAAGCCTTAGACCGTTGGATTTAACCGACATGGTGGTTTTTAGAGCCCACCGGGACGATTATCCGCTTGGATAATCAGCGTTTTTGCCAATAGGCTTGATTCCACCGGAAGATAGTGGTCGAGTAGTGGTAGCGACCGTGCGTCTTCGCATTTTCTGTATTTCCCCAAATAAGCTTTTTGATAGGAAGTAATCTCTTTTTAAACATTGATTTTGTAAAAGGAATTAAAGAAATTACTTATTTCAATTCAAATTCGTATCCCACTAAGGCTTGACGAAGTTCGCTGCTTCCATTCCCAGGTTTTATAGTGTTAGGTGATGATAGGATTTGCTTCCTGCCTCTGTGATCGCTCTGTCAAGCAATAAAGAATAGGCAGATGAATCAGTGCGTATTTTTTTATCAATTATTTTTACGTGGTATATGTATATTGCAAGGGATAAATCACACAGTGGCTGATATCTGTTACGTACTTGCAGAAACCTACGACTTTCTCCCAGGGGTTGCAAATCATGTGATACTTGTCTGGTGTGTGTGGCATAATTTCGGGTTTCAAAATGCTATCTGGTAAAAGGTTCCCCAGAGGAAAATCTGTTGTGACAAATATTGATTAAACCACACTCATCCCCGGTTCCTTTTATGCGCCTCCCCCTCCCCCACGTAAACAGTCATCTGGTGTCCCACACCATGCTCTCAATTAATGAATGAATAGAAAGACAATCGGGATTGTTTTGAAGAATTCAGAAAATCCAGTGTCTCTTGTTGTTGTTGTTGTTGTTGTTGTTGTTGTTCTGATATGGATCCGAAAGCCCTCGTATGACCTTTTGTACTATATATAAAAATGTACAGTTAACATCCAGGAAGGGCGGGCGGGGGGAGGGACCGTGGTCATACACAAAGGCTGCCTGTACTGGACTTGATACAGAAAGACGAGTGGCGATGGAGCGGCTCGAACCCGGGACTCCCGGGTCACAAGTTGGCGACCTAACCACTTGATAGAGAATAGTAGACTTTGATAATTAAAAGCGATTCTGTGGTCAAATGCTCATTAAATTTACTCGCTGGCAGTGAACAATCTCGAGCTAGATCTTCAGTGGGCTTAATTTTAAGATGCTTCTTGTTCTTCACGCTTGGTCTTTGACCCGATTCCTTGTACTTAACATCAGTAAATGCATTGAAGTTCCATTTAATCTTAAAACCGGTCCCCGTTATCTTTCATTAGTTAATAATCTCCCTGATCTTAGAGTTAACAATCAAAACATTCCCAAATCTGCATCTGTTAAATACATTGGTGTCACCCTTACCCATAACCTGTCCTGGTCTGCTCACGTCATCGACGTTTTCACAAAAGTTCGAAAACTATTTTTTTTATCCGTACAGGCCTCAGGAAATTGGCCGTACCACATAATCTTATTCTTAAATTTGTGATTGCATGCATTGTTCCGCACTGGCTATACTGCTCCGCGATTTTTATCCCTGGTCTGAAAGAAAAAGAGCTTAATCTGTACTGCTGAGAGTGGCTAATCACACACGATTTCAGTTGGTTAGATGTGTTATTAAGCCGGCGGGGATAACAAATCAGCCTAGCACCAAACGTGACAGTGGCAATGTCGGGGTTTGAACCACGGAGTTGGTAGCCAAGAGCACATCAACGAGAATGACTTAAACCGCATGTCATTGTCTGCTGCCGCCTCAAAACCCATTCTATTTGTTATCTGACGTTCTAGGGAATTTTTTGTCGTTATTCCTTTTGGTGGTGTGTTGTTACTAACTATAACGTTGATTTTATTAATCATCACTTAATCATTTAATAAACATTTCATGTTCTTTTTACCCAATACGGTAGTCACAGTTTAAAAAAAAATGTAAACAACTGTGTTGCTTGTTTTGTTTTTGTCTTTCTCACTCAGATAGTATAGTTTGGCATTCTTCAACCCGCTGAGGTTGTATTCTCTGCACAGTTATCGGGAGAGGGCTTACGAATGTCCATATAGGTGAATGTGTCTCTGATTAGCTGCTGTTTATCTCCACATGACATCTGTCCATTATGCATCCTCATCAAATCCCACTGGTTGTTTCCTTTGCCATCCACCTCGTTCTCAATAATTTTGTTTAAATGATAACAATCTTTTTTTATTATACATATTTTGTGTCTGATGAATAACAGACGGGACGGACCCGATAGTCAGTGATGATAACCGGCAACCGAAGTCCCGGGACATGGAGTGCGGCGAACCATCTAAGGTCCCGCTAGATTAGGTGTGATATTGAACCGAACGACAGCAAGGCGTTGCTTATCACCAAAATTGGGTGTTGGTGTTGGTGTCGGGGCTCGAACCTCGGACCATGGGGTCCAAAGCACGCCAGGAAATAGCGAATAAGTCACTGCGTCACCACCACCACCACCATCACTTGCCTTTCACTGACCATATTTTTGGGAAAAAGTTAGTTTGCATCGTGGTGCAGGATGGGTTTGAGGATAACCAGGAACAATATGTTTTCCAAAAAAGGAAATCACATACACCAAGTACAAGGTGCAAATCGGACTATTTGTTCGATTCATCCGTATCATATATGCTATATAGGCAGTCAGCATTACGTTCGCTTTGGTCGCTTTTCGGTGTTAGTAACCCATGGATTTTCATAAGATAAACTGGTAATCCGTGATTGGAGAATGATTTAATCTCTCGCGTAACCAACCATCTCATTTTCTGAAACATATTCCCATTTTTGATTCATCGGGCGACCAATTGCACAGATGATCAATTTGGGACACAGTGTCAACGGCCTGGAAGTGATCCGCTTCCCTCCGGGGTCTGCGTCGGTCCTGGTCGGAGAACCACAGCGTTGTGTTATTTTGGCCACCACACCGGTGCGTATGTATCAGTTGGCCGGTTGGATCAATCCTACTGGGGCGAGTTCCAAACTCACACATTTCACCTCGGGCAGTCCGCCCACAGGAAGCCCGGTCAATTTGGCACTCGGAGTGAATATTGCGGAATGTGCTGTCCCAGTTGGTCCCAGTTTGCAGACCGGTATTTTCCCAGGTTCCTCCGTTGGACTCTATCACGGCGTGTTCTCCTCGGACGATAAACTTCCGTCCGGTAAGAAGTTATCACTTTCATGTTCTGCTTGTGATTTGAAGCTTAAAGTCAAAGCTAGAACTCACCTTGTCCGTATATGAATGATCTATCTATTGAATTTTCAAGTTGTTCCAGTTTCATTGTCTGCAATTTGGTTGGTGTGAGTTCTCGCGAACTTAGCTATGCCCTAAGGTCTAAGGCATCCATTTGAAAATCCTCTCATCATCATCAATCTGTCTAGTTCCTTTTCCCTCAACCCCCCACCCCACCCCCTCCGGTTTCCGCAAATCTGGGTGTCTCAAACAGGTTATAACTGACGCTGTGAGATGCTACTCACATTATATGAGTAGGATCATCATAAAGCGGTTGCTGGATTCCTACAGTATTCAAAAATGGACGTACTGGACATACTGGGTTCGATAAAGTGCGTTTGACATTGTAAAAACAAAAGATACGTACAAACCGGTGAACTTTTTGCGTAGAAATCAGAGCGTTTCATAAAACGGTGACTTGGTGACTTGTTTCCGATCATCATCTGTTTCGTTTTGTGTGTGTAATTCGATTAACTCGACTGTTCATGTCTTGTTCAACTCAAGGGTATAATTAGTGCACTGTGCCCGTCAGAAATCACTGGGCCGATCGAACCGAACTCTCTCGTTCATCTAACCACGTACCAGTGTCCTTAGTGGACACATTCGATTTGACCGCAAACTGGCTAGGTATCCATCTAAGGACTTTGTTTAATCGAGTAAGCGTTCAACCCGATTTTCTGTGGCTTTGACTACAGTGCAATAAAAACATTTTTTATGATGAATTCGTCGTGTAAATGAGGCGTGAGCTGAAAAGCTAGGAAGCACTGGACACCTGTTTCGACCTGGTTGGGTATCACCAGCAACGCGAATCCAACGACCCAACTCGGGATCGAACCTGGGAGCTCACAGGCAGAACGCAAGCATACTACCCACTTGGCCACCGGGCAACTGATCAGATTGTTTCTCATTTTGAATTTACACCATATAGCACAACCCGTCTATGGGAGCTTGTTGCGAGTATCGGTCCTCGCTCATCTCAGCACTAGCCTTCAGGGATATGACTTGGTTGGAAACTTTCAAAACCTGATTATTTATTGTATCAAATCCTCCATTACTATCACATAGACGGGTTGTGCTATATTGTGTAAATTCAAAATAAGGAACGGTCCGATCAACTACCCGGTGTCCGAGTGGGTAATATGCTTGCGTTCTATCTGTGAGATCTCGAGTTCAATCCCCATCCAGTTTGGTCGATGGATTCGCTCNCTCATTGCTGTTGATGAGACCCAACCAGGTCGAAGCGGTTACCCAGTACTTCCTAGATTTTCAGTTCGTGCTTCATTTACACGACGAATTGATCATAAAAACAAACTAAGTCCTCCATTAATCTCATACAAAAATAGTTTTCTCACCGGATCCATTGGTCTGGATAGCCTTATGATATTAGTCCACCCAAGCACGAGCAAATCGTGAACCCTATTTGTTTGATTGGCACTCACAGTCCGAGCTCAGATAAGTGACATGGATATAATATACANATTGTGGAAAACTTATCATTCTCGGCGACACTCAAGGCTTCACGTTACTTTCGTAGTACAATATACACGGATTTATTGGATCTCGTGCTGCGTGGCATTCCGTAAAAAACGCAAAGAATCAGACTTTAGAGTAGCAAGCTTGGATTAGCCCATTCGATTATTAAGAGGCACCAGGCACTCTTGATATTCTTGGATGTGGGTTTCACTCCTTGGGAGATCGTTAATTCCCCACAATTTCATGCCTTTACATGCGATGGAAATGTTTGTGATAACCGACAAAGAGCACTGGACAGCTTTTTCGTCCTGTTTGGGACTCGGCAGTGCTCACTTTTTGTGTCTTTGTCAGGAATCGAACCGCGAACTTTCGGGTTTGGACTTTAAACCCCTAACCCTGAGCTACACGGTTGACGGTCATCACCTTGTGCGAATGGCTTGGATTAGTCCATTCGATTGTTAAGAAGCACCTGGCAGATGTTGATCAGACGGTTGTTTTGTGTTCGCAATATTCATTATTCCGCAATCGTCTCGTGATTTCGCTCAAGTGTGTATGTGTGTTTGTGTGTACTAAACAGCGTTCAGTCCAGTTCAGTTTTTACCACCATTAACCATGCACTTTCGTGCACCGGTTTTGGTTGCCCATTTGGATAAAAGAGCAAAATAAAGATTGGAATGTCGAAGCAAATTCAAGCGGAAGACGGGTAATTCGTATAGAATGGTGTTAGGAGAATAAGGAGTGGATGCACGAGCACCACTTTTTGCGACACCCAGCCATATCACTTAGTGTCTCTAACCATCGGTGACCGTCATCCCGAGGTCCCCAGTCAGGAAGTCTAACGGGGCCAATGTGATCTAGTCTCCTGGTTAGGGTTTTCATACTCTCATGCCAGGTCTTAGTTTGACCACCCTGTATCTTTTTCCAATTGCTACCAGCCTTGGCAAACATCGTTCGCCGCGGCAACCTATCTTTCGATATACGTAACACATGTCCCAACCAGCGTAAACTATGGAGGTCGATCACTTGCTCTAGTGAACAACTAAGCAGTGTACCCGGTAGGGTCAACAAGCCGTTCAGACTGTCTCATGGGGGAAGAAAATTCACAGGTTCGAATAGTCAGGCCGTCATGACATTCGACTGTCCCTTGAGGGAACGGTGTACATCGCTGTGGTTCGTTGCGTTCTACCTTATGGTTGCAGAACATGGCCCCTGCTCGTTGAGGATGCTAATCGACTTCCTGTAGTTGAGCACCAAAGAGTTTCTCATGTCTAGTGGGAACATCGACCGAGTAATGACGAGGTTTTTCGTCGTGTGTTTGGTTTGGGTAGTCATTCCCTAATAGAAGTAATCGCTCTTCAACGCCTCCGGTGGTTTGGTCACATATTGCGTATACCTGCCTACCGTCCACCTTTCCGTGCTCTCTTTGCACGTGCCGAGCAAGACCGGAAGAAGCGTCGCGGTGGTCAAACCATGACATGACGTATAGGCATGAAGAAGTTGGCTTCAGCTTTGGCTTCG